GACCCGGGCCAGTGTCCTGTCCTCCCGAGGACGGTGTCGCAGCCGCCTGCCCTGTGAGCGCCTGGGGCATCTGGAGGAGAGGTCCCCACCCTGGTGGACTCCTTGGTAGCAAAGGCTGGGGCCCAGTCGCTGCACTCACAGCTCGGGCCAGGGGACCCAGGCCTGTGGGTCCCCCACAACCAACACCTGTTCCCAGACGCAGACACTGAGGTCCGCGCCTGGCCATGGAAACTAAACATGGTACTTAGACACCAACCAACATCAGCATCACAACTGGGGGTGTGTGCGTGCACTTGCAAAGCCTGAACCAGGGCCCTTACGCTGAGCTGTCTCCTCAGCTTTTTTTTCATTTTTTACTTTGAGACAAGGTCTCAGTAAGTCGCTAAGTTGCTCAGGCTGGGTTTAAACTTACAACCTTCCTGCCTCAGCTTCTCAGAGTGCTCACCACCACTACACCCAGCTAGAACTAGATTGTTGAACCCCAAAGAACTAACAACACAAATTCCCAATGATGAGTACTGTTATGCCCAAGTCGCAAAGTCCCCAAAGACCACCAAGGAGTCAGGTCCGATGCAATTGCAAGAGGAGTTTATTGCAAGCTCGAGCCTGGACCCTCAGGTGTCACCGTCACAGCGGCTTCAGACCGAGAGCCCAGACCCATCTTTGAAGCAGGGTCATATAGGGCTAGGAAGACTTTCTTTTTATAGGTCTTACTTTTAGCTCTCATTTACTATTGGATATCTGAGGGGTACTGGGAGGGCACTTACTGGAAAATTACTAATGCCTATGTTCACAGAATCAATAACTCTTTTTAAAGAACATCTGATTTTATTTTTTTATTTATTTTGGGGGATACCGGGGATTGAACTCTGGTCCTTGCGCTTGCAAGGCAGGCCACCGAACCGCTGAGCTAAATCCCCGGCCCGAGAACATCTGATTTTGTAAGCAAGGATATCAGCAGGTGGCTACCTATGTCAGCTATGACTAATACCTATGTTGGCTAAATCAAATTATCTTAAACAGGTAGAATTCATCTTTGGATCATAAAAAGAGGAACAGAAACACAGGGTGGAGGCCTAAGACAGAGCTGCCTAGAAAGAGAAACAAACACAGGGAGACTGTCATACAGAATGGAATTTTTGTAGCTCTGTTCTGGGCAAGGGGCACAGAGGGAGCCCACCTTGACCTGAAAACTTGGTCCTTACAAATGCCACCATTGTGCATACCTAAAATGTACCAATAAATGTAACGAACAAAAATGTAAAAATAAAATAAATAAAACACCAAGACAGCCTGGAAAGAACCGGAAGTTCTGGAAGACTCTGGTGTCAAGCCTAAGGGAGATTTATATTAGGTTCGGAGCGTTTGGGAGGCTCCTGAACAGCTGCAGGGAGGTGGGAGGAGCCCCTGCTGGGTGCGCGGGAGTTGGACAGGCTCACGTAGGCACTGAGGGGCGGGCACCCCGGCCGGCCCTGGGGGTCGCCTCACCTCTTCACCCAGAAGGAGGAGTTCGGGTTCCGAGGCGTGTATGAAAAGGAGTCAAGGGCTTTACCATGACGCTGCCTTTTCAGAATTTTTAAATCTTAGCCAGGTGTGGTGGCATAGGTCTGTCCTATACTGGAAGGCTGAAGCAGGAGGATCTCAAGTTTGAGCCCACCCGTGGCAACTTGGTGATTTAGCCAGACCCTGTTACAAATTAAAATAATAATAGGGCCGGGAATTTAGCTCAGTGGCACCACGCCTGCCTCGCAAGCACAAGTTTAGCCCTGTTAGCTGTGGGGTCCCAACCCGTGGCCTCACTAAATTGCAGATCATAAGTTTTCGAAGCATTGCGTTTATACTGAGCATGCGCCGGCGTCCCCACAGCTGCCGGCGTGACGCTCACATTGGAGCGGTGTAGGCAGAAGCTGGGTCTCCGTGGCGAGCATTCCCAGTTTCCCTACCTGCTGGGGTCCTGAGGATGAAGACTGGGAGAAGGAGCAGGCTCTCCGCCCTGCCCCTTCCGGGACGTGAGTGTGTGCGCTGACACTGTCATGGAAAGTAAGTGTTCAAGCGTGACCTTCTCTGATATTTTTCTATTCAGATAAATTCTACTTTAATCCTTAGGAAATTGCTGGTTGTCAGTACTCAAAACTCATTTTATGAAGAAAGCAACTACGATTTTTTGGTTTGGTTTTGGTTTTGTTGATAGTCTCTCTACTTAGCCCAGGCTGGTCTTGAACTCACAGTATCCTCCTGCCTCAGCCTCCTGAGTGCTGGGATGGCAGGTGTGCACCATCACGCCCAGCTGCAACCACAGTTAATTAACTATAGCTTGAAAAGCCATCTTGGTTTAAGAGAAGACTGGGCGTGCTGCCTCATACCAGAGCAGCCTGAGCCCCAGAGATGGTGCCGTATGGATCCTCGGAACCTGGGACCGTGTGTTTTGAGCTGACAGGGCCTTTGTGGCATAATGACAATCGCAGACCCTTGGCCACTACTACAGGGCAAATGGAAACTCATACCCCAGTGAACCCTGGAGAGGGACTTTGAGGCTGGGTGACACTTTCTGTTCCTCCCCCAACCCCTGGTACTGGGGATTGAGCCCAGGTCCCTCTCACTGAGCTACACACACACACTTTTTAATTTTGAGATTCACTACATCACAGAATTGCCTGGGCTGGGCTCCAGCTTGCCACTGTCCTGCCTCAGCCTCCCAGAGTGCTGGGATTACAGACATGCAGCACCTCACCCAGTGGATTCTATTTCCTTGCTTTGCGTTCTTTAGAATGGACACAGTGACTGTGACCCTGAGAACTTCAAGGTGCACTACTTCGTGTGTCCTCCAGGTCCCCCAGCAGCATCCCAGGCCTCGCTACCCCTTTCCCCAGGGTCCCCAGCCTCCCTGGAGGTCCACAAGGCCACAGTGTGGGAAATCGCCGTCCAGCAGGGATCCCAGAATCACAGTGGTTGGAGCAGGGTGTGATCTGAAGGTGGGGGTGGAAGGGCTGGGCGGCTTAGGAGGCTTTGCAGCTCACCTGTTGGAAGCCCCAGGCAGAGGCTTCTGGGAAGTGGGCCCAGGAGTAGGAGGGGTCCTGGGAGGCAGGGCTCCTAGCAACCCAGCCTTGATTATGTAAAGCATCCCAGCCCGGGCTCCAGCCAGCACTGCACCCAGGGCCGCTGTCCCGGCACCTGAGGCTCCCACCCTAGGGATCTCCGGCACTGTCTTCCTTCTTCTGGTTTCTGATGTCGCCATTCCCAGCTTCATATACAGCACTGGGTTTTTGTTTTCCAGAAAAGAAAATGCAGGTAGTGGTGGAAGAGGAGGAGGAAACTTTCCACGATTCAGACTCCTACATTTCTTAACATTGTTATATGAATTAAACTGTTATACTCAATCTTAGAGATGATAGAGGTTCGCCAACACTGAGCCGGATTTGAGTCCTTCATTGCCGGCGGCCGAGAGTGGCTAGTGCTTGAAACCTCTCGACTGAAAAG